TTGCGTTTGTAAATATCTGCCAACCTTAGCCAAGCCTGTAGAGCACATACCTATCTCGTGCTCCATATCCTATAACAGCTGCAAGTTACTTACGCAGTATAGAGACAAAAAAATGTAATGAGTTTCCTCAATTTCTATGTACAATACATCTGGCAGCATCTGCACCAAATCCAATATTGGAGCACACCAACGCCATGACCTTGTGCGTTCCCAGCCCAAAAAAAAACTCAGTGCCAATCTGTATACCGTGGGTCCCCGGGTCAAACGCCAATCCGAAAATGAGGACAAGAAAGGTAAAGAAAAAGTAAAGGAAGAAAAAAGCAATAAGGCATGACATGACATAAATAACATGAATAAGAACTCCCCTGGTTTCGTGCTGTGGGATATATGGCAAGAGGTGAACTGGAAAAATAGATCGAAGAATATGAACGAAGAAATTAGTCTTCGTAGAAACGTAAGTGGCAGATAAATGGCAAAAAGAGGAACATGGCATTGGGGTTAGCCAGAGGTTACCATATATAAAAGGGCGGGTGAAAAATAGGGTCAATTGTTAGCGTCGTGAGTTAACCTTATACATATAAGGCTATAATCATGACGCTACTGAATCGAACAATATCGTAATAATCCCAATAGATTTGGTGGATATCTCGGGGGAGAACAAAGTGCTCATCTAGGCGGTGTCACCCCCGTGGCATATGCAACCGGAGAAATGGTGGATGTAGGTGTCTTGCCCCCCGTTGGAGTCGGCGCCGAGGATCGCTTGGATAGAACAGCTAACTTCTTCCGGACAGATGCGAGGCGGCCACGCATACTGGATACGACTAGAATAAGGTGTTAGTTTTGGATATGTCCGCCGGATGGACTTGCACAAGACTCACGTTTGACAACAACCTGCCGATCCTCCACCTGCAGCTCGTCCAGAATTATCTTGTCACCAGGTTGCGAACCGCTTTGCCGTTCGTTGCTACCCGGAATAGATCGCGTTCCGTCACTCTCAAGCACAGCTTCGAGCATGCGAATCGCAGTAACATATGTGATCTCACAATTTGCAAGATCTTCGCCAGTCAATTCATTGATGGCAGCCGCCCGGCTCATCTCAAGTGCGCGATCATACATTAGCCTCTCCGCTGTGACGCCGGGGCTCACTACTACATCGGCGGTTGAGCTCGAGCCGGCGGTGGAGCCAATGGAATGGTTATCTGGATGGCTAGGATGATCTGGTGGCAATCGCCGTTGACCCTCGATGAGTTTTAGGCGCACGAATTCGGCTTTTTCGATAACCTCATTGAACCGACTCCTCACCCATTGCACAACGTAGTTGATCCGGGTACCGGCAGCTGCGCTCATGCTGTCTTTGGCGGGGAACTCCCCATAGGCCTCTTCTCTGTTCTTGCGCGACCACCAGGCCCCAGCAATGTCCATTGACTTTGCAAGCAAAGACAAAGCCTTGACATATAGTACCAAAGCTTCCTCGGACAATGTAACAATAGCATCAACTGTCAGGCCATCATCGGAATCGGCAGAGTCTGGTTCAATGTTTGTGTCCATAGGTCTCGCAGATGGATCAGTCGGTGCCGAAGGTGCTAGCGGGACAAGCTGTTTATATTTGACCTCGGCAAATCCGAAGACAACGTCACTACGCGTGGCACATTCCTCGATTTCCTGAACTGCCTTGCAATCTTCATCTACGGTTGCATTGGGTTTGGAGCCGTCTCCGGTGATCAAAAGACTGGCATGTGTAGGAGGATAGGCGGGGAAAGGGTTATAGGCTAGAGGCGGAGATCGCCCACCTTTGGTGAGGGGAGGAGAGAAGCCCATTTTGAACAGACGACCGCTGGCCATGTTGAGTGCTTTCGAGATTGCCGAGGTCGCCGACGTAGGGCTTTGCCCGTAACGTCGCTCGTAGGAATGCTGGCGCTGATGTATGGAATCTGCTCGCGAACGACCCGAAACAACCTGCATGGCTTTAGCCGCATTGGCATGCGGGGAAGATGGCGACACTGTAGGTAGACCCTGCGTTGTTGCCCGACGGCCGGCGGCGCCAGTTTGTCCTGGTCGAGAAAGGCCGCCTCGAAGGCGTGGGCTATGAGCCAGTTCATCTGCAAAGGCATTGACCTCCACAGCCCGCTTTTCGACAACAACATAGTCTCTCTCAAATGCCACTTCTTGTGCAGCGCGATCTCGTGCCTCCTGGGCACGGACTGTTGAGTCACTAGCTTTGGAAGAGTCAGTGTAAGTGTTCCGGTTTCTCTGCCGATCGACGGCCGCAGTAGTTGCGTTGCGTTCGGTAAGCTCCTGGCGTCCCGGGGCAGTGGCAAGGCTGACAGGTCCAGGCCGTTGGGCTGGTGCAGCTCTCAATTGTTGCTCCCTAGAAATACCAGGAGCAGGCCGGTCAGCGCTTCCCACACGACGCATTTGTGTAGCGGTCGGCGGCGTTCCTGATCTTAGGCGTGTTGCAACAGGTCTTTGACCGGGAGGATATGCAAGTCTGTCCTCAGGCCCAGTATTATAAGGAGATTCTTCAGTCTTTGCGGCAAGCTGCCTCGGCCGTGGCGATTGTGGTGGTTCTGGAAGGTCATCCGCTACCAAGCCAGGAATCGGATCATTTATCACATTGTTGCTGAAGAACTCAGGGAAGTTCAATCGCTCCACTGGGTTCCGTTTCAGCAGACCTCGGATTAACTTTTTGATGTCATCTGAGGCGGGGTTATCTTCAGGAAAGCGGATTCGGTCTTCTCCTTTCTCGATCTTTCGCAGCAACTCAACGTGATTTGTGGCCCGGAACGGGGGTCGGCCCACCACCATTTCGTAGAGCACAGTACCTACCGACCACAAGTCGGCCTTGGCATCATACTTCTCATAACGAAGAATCTCGGGTGCCATGTACAGTGGAGATCCACAAAGAGTCTCTGCGAGTGAAGTGGCTGGTAAAGATCGAGCGAAGCCGAAATCTGCGATTTTGAGCATGGGGAGGGACTCAAGCCCCGTCATAGGCTCGTAAGAGTCATCGCTGCCTTTATAAGGAATTACCTGAGCAGTCCCGGTCCGATACGACGAAGGTGAGGGACACAACAAGAGATTCTGTGGCTTGATATCTCGATGAATGAGATTTCGGTCACGAAGGAATTTCAGTGCGCTTGAAAGCTGTTTGAGGAAGTGCCTAGTAACCACCTCATTGAGCGAGGCGCCGGGTGCATTTGGATATTTTGCAATCATATCCCGAGTGTATTTATGTGATCCAAGAGTATCTCGGCGCTTGATGAACAGCGAAAGATCCCCCAGTGCACAGTATTCCATGACCAAGTGAATGTGAGATGTTGATTCATGGCAGTCGATCAGGGCCACGATATGTGGGTGCTGTAGCCCCTTGAGGATATCGATCTCGGACGAAAGGTTTTCTTTGAGCTTCTTGTTAAGCTTCGACAAGTTCACGGACTTGATTGCTACAAAGGTTCTCGTTTGCTGTGATGGGAACCGATTAGCATCCATCAACTTGACATATTAGAAGACAAGGCACGACTCACTGTATGGATACCTTGATAGACCGTCGCGAAACTACCTCGCCCGATCTCATCGAGCCGTGTATAGCGACCGATCGACATCTCTGAACGGGGGGGTTCGCGCGATCTCCTCGAATGTTGGGACGCCATGACGGCGGTGGGCACGCCAATGCCTGTTCTGTCTCTGGTAGACTAACGCTGGGGGAAATCAGATCGAGTTACACCCCAGCAACCACAACTACCTCAGCAGCAGCAATAGGAACGATCGACTCGAGAGGCCCATCAGGGGAGCTATGGAAAGGATGACGATGCCTCCGGGAAGCCTGGAAGGACGAGGAACCGCCGGGAGAATGGGTATGGGAAGGTACTGCAACTGAGTGCCGTGGAACGAGACCGGTGAACTCGGGTAGATTATAAGAAATGATGTCGATGTAGAACGATGTACTTCAAGGAAGCAAACACAAGTTGATCCAAAACACTTAAAGCGGTGAGAGGTGAGATGCAGAATAGCCAAAAGGGCGGGAGGTTAGGAGATTTGAGTATAATATGGAGAGAACCAAAGATCTAAGGGGGCAAAATGACAAGTCCTAATGAAAGAGCAAGATGATGTGATGGTGGAAACGGGAAGAGAGCCCCAAGACCCAGGGATACTCCACGATTGGGGGGTGTGACCCAACGATAACGAGTGACAAGCGGCGATGATCGCGTAAGGCGGTCAGAGGGGTGGAGATGATCTGGACTGCCCGATAAGATGAAAAGGTACAGGGAAGTCTGGGGGGAATGAGAGATGAGAGACAAATGATAGAGGAAATGAATCAGTTGTCCAAATTATAGGGAATATCGAGAACAACCCTCTTTAAAGCGCCAGGGACGGCAAAAAAGAACCTTGGGAGTGTCCAAATCGCAGTGATCTAGGTCATGTGCTTATCGATTAGATAAGGCCGAGATCGGCAAGGCAGATCACGGATACCGGAATTATACCGGAGACTAGGGGGTGAAGAAATACATATACGTATGCGTTCTGTGGGGTTAGGCTCTATATATAGTGTCTAGACTCTAGCAAGGCTCCTCTATAAACGGAGGATGTCTTCTGCAATCTTCGTATCTTCCTGTACTCCATAAATACTGCCAAATTGAAAGGTAGGTGATCGATCACAAAACACGATGGAACTGTATGGTGACGGAAGCTTATCTGCAGCCTATGGCTCCCAGTCATGGCGCAGCGGTTGGTTAAATTCAGAGAAAGGGGGGAAGCTAAGGCAAGGCAGATATGCAATGACGCGCCGCTAGTATAGGCACCCAAACATGGTCTCTGGTTGAGTAGTCGAGGTCAATCTATACATCCTCGGGCTAAGTACCCCACCATACTATACAAAATGCCGTAGGGATATGATAGGCAAATAATCACACGCAAACCTCCGAGCAAAAAAAGGAAATGAAAAAAAGGTCAGGAAATAGGAAGCAAACATGTCGCGCATTTATACACATCAACGTGGCACATCAGACGCCAAGACCCCGCACCAGCAGCCATAACACCACTGGGACCACGACATTGTCATTACAACCGGTAAGGATTGCTTCGGTGGCGCTCGTTCCGGCTGCCGCCAGAACCGCCTTGAGCAAAGTCCAGGCCCAGAAGTGAGCGGAGAAAGCTGTCACTGCAGCCGATTCGAGCCCAGACACGGGCCAGCCACCGAGCACCAACCAGGCACGAACCGCGATCAGCCCGCAGGTGACAGCTACAACGAAAGCAATGCTGCCTTCAAGTGATTTGCCGCCTCCCCAGAACCATTTCAGCCGGCCGTACCGTCGGCCAATGAGGGATGCAGCCGCGTCGCCCATGCCAACACAGATAACTCCGCTGGCCATGCTTACATCCCGTGACGGTACCTCCCAACCGGCCCAGGGGCCCAGGCCAGTCCGAGGGAGATCGGAAAGCGACAGCCAAAGGGGTATCGAACATCCAATTAGCAAGAAGATATGCGAGATGATGACCGGGCCACGGTGATCACGGCCGTCAACATACGGGGCCAGAAAGTAGGTAAGCGGTCGCGAAATTGGAGGTAGTTGAGATGCGCGGAATAGGTCAAGTAGAAGGAATATGGAGAGGACCAAGGCTAGCGCCATGGCGCAGAAGGCTGGATCCACAAAAATCGCGGGAAGGAACATAACCACCATCATGCCGTGGAAAATCTTGCGGCGCGTATCAACCTCGGCAACAGAGCTGAGCTTAACCACAATAGCCAGGCCTGTCAGTAGTACCAACGCGCAGTATCCACTGAGTAGTAGACGGGTCACGGCAGCTCCAAAAGTAGCCTGGCGAATATGTTCGACCGACCCAAGGAAGCAGGAGGCACTCAGATTATCTGCATCAGGGCGGGGTGGCAGTTCGATCCAGTATTCAAGGTTCAACATAAGCACCCAAAAGCGAATTTTCGAGAAGTTTCCCAGCAGGTAGCCGATAGCCCAACCGAACGGATCCTGGCCTTGTAGTGCGTGCTCTGCTACGTATTTTCGAATAGGCCCAAGAATGATAATCAGCGACAGAACATACACGTAAAATGCGTACAACCATTTTCGGACCTGTGCCTGGGCTGAAGTGAGCGAGAGGAAGGAGGCCAGGCCAGGACCCATCATTTTCTTGCGTCTACCACCGGGGGTGGTGTGGACACGTTCCTCTCGAACGACTTCGTCGAATGTAGATATGGTATGGCGTCGTCGATGCACAATACGAGCATGCTTCTCGAAAATCGCCTCCGTCGTGACCTGGTCGACTGCAGATGTCGGCTCTGCCGATGGGCGGAAAGAGCGATTATCCTGCATGGTCTTCGTCTTGCGCGGCCTTGAAAACATGAAGCCATTAGGGCCATCGCTGTCCGATGTAGCATCGTCCGATGGAACGTGCGCCGTTCTACTCAACTTCTCACAAATTCGATGGTCCATCATGTTCAAGAATTTGCGGGGAGATTGCGCGCCATGTGGGGCGCGGCGGAATTTCCAGCTGGGAATTCTAGCCAAAGAAACCTCCCAACGCAGTATATGTCGACAAGAAGCAAACAAACACATGCCTCCAAGCCATAACAAGGCTTTGAGTATCTCCATCTGGGGAGAGGCCGCAAACAAGTACAAGTTGATCAAAGCAGTTGTCAAAAGCTGCAGCTCAGCGGGAAGAATGCTGGTCGTCAACAAAAAGTCTAAAGTGGGTATCAACGCTTGATGCAAAGGGAAAAGAAGTATTAAAGACTCTGCGTCGAGCCCGCGAAGCGTCAATGGTTTGGGTACAGTATGGTCCGAGGAGAAATGTTCGGAAACGAGGATGGGAATCATAGAGACCATCCAATGGAGGTTATCAAATCCATTCGCCCGGTTCTGGAACGGTATAACAGGCGTTGGTAAAGAGGAGAGGCTGAGGATGATATTAGGCATGATAAGTGGCGGGAGATGGTTGGACAGCGATAACGAGACGAAGATGGGGATAAGAATCGGATAGAGAAGGGGGGCCGGATCGAAGCTCGCGGGTATTGAGAAGTATGTCCGTTTCGTGGACCAGATGCGCCAGATGCGCCAGCTTCGGCCTTGCGATGCTCGAACAGCGAGCGGATAGCTGGCATAGAGACCCAAGACCACGAGGGCATGAGCAGCAAGCTCTGTATATCAATTAGCGCGCCCCAGATTTTTGGTAGCAATATCAGTTTTCCCCATACCCTTTCTCCATTCCCAAGCTAAGGAGCGCGCCCGGTCTTGGTACAAGACCACGCCACCCACAGACAACAAAAGCGCAGCCTCCAACAACCGCCGGAGAACCTCCACCCGTCTCTGGCGCCTGAACCTCAGTCTCTCCTCAAAGGCCTCTTCCTCAAGTTCTTCCTCCGAGCTCCGCCGCGACGTCCGCAAAATAGGCCGCACAAATGACGGCCACGGTTGCAGACTTGGCAGCCAGTCATCGACCTCAGTGAGACCCACCCCACCAGACCGTAGGCCTTTTCGAGGACGGAGGGGCGGGGCAGGTAATCCCCTTAGAATACCGGTGCTTTCATCGTCTGCCTCTGTGCCACTGTCGCTGGTTGTTCGTGAGGACCTGGAGTAGGAGGAGAGCGGGTGGAGACGGTCGCCGTCGGAGGGAGTGCATGATCCGAGGCGTCGACTTCTGTGGTATGGATGGGGGGAGCGATTAAATAGTCGGAGGTCTTCGGCGAACGCTTCGGGGTCCAGAGGTGTACTGGTGCGAAACGTCGCTTCTTGTTCTTCTTTCCACGGCGAACTCATGGCGCCATGCTTATGTCGATGAGTACGTCATGCCGCGGTGGGATAAGGATGTACAATGTATGGGGAGGATAGTATAACGTCCAGAAAAAGAGCAGGGTAACTAACAATTTAGTCCTGTTTAAGTTCGATGGCGGAGATATTGAGAACGTGGCGGAGGCAGAATGACACTGTTATCTTTTCCTGAATGCGGAAGGGATTTTGCCTTATCACATGCGAGCGGACAGTGCGTACATCGATCATCGGTGGAGTAGAGCATCGACGTTTAACGATCTTTTGACCCCTAAATATTATTTTGTCTGATCTTTTGTTAAATTGAGTGGCTTTATTCGTTGTGAAATAGTGCCTAACTAAACTGCTGCAGGACCACACCTGCACTCAACCTTCGTCCTTCTCGCCCCCATACTGATCTGCACGGCACAACCTGCACTGGCCACGAAGCTTCAGGCACTGGGTATGTGGTATATAACACAGCCTGAGACAGACTGGAATCTCGACAGTAAGCCTCTTTCACTGATCTCAATATTTGCTTCAATGTATCGTCCGACGAACCCGCGTCGATCTCGATATTGGTATACTTGTATTGACTGTCCATGGTGGTGGAAGATGTCCCCCCTTTAATGTCCAGCTTGACCTGCTCGCACAGGCCCCCTAGACCTTGCCATTCAATATCGCTTCCTCGTGGTAGTTCATCCACTTGAACAGCCAGGAATGGTGGAATGGATGTGTGAGACTCAACAAGAGCAGTGAACTGGGGCAGACTGGGCACAGGGGTATCGGTCAGCTCCTCTGTGCGACGGCCATATTTGATATCCCACGCGTCCAGCTGTGGCCCATCGTCATCATCCTCGTCCTCATTGTCAGGTAAAGCATGCATTCTTTCCCAGAGGCGCCATGCCACTTGCGCCTGGGTATTAGCGTGGTCGCCACGAGCCAAGAAGGCCACCGCACCGAGCCACCAGTTTACCTGCATGGCTTCACCAATTCTCCAGAGATGCTGAAGGGCCAGTACAGCTCGAAGACGGTAATTTTCAATCCATGAACTTGACCCCTCGACTCGCGCCAGGTCCATAGAACCAGGATCTAGAGGAATCTGACCAGCAATGTACACAAGTCTGCTATCGTTCTGCAACGGAACTGACAACGCTTGCGAATATGGTCCAATATTTGCGGGCGCCCAGTATGACCTGGATTGAACATGCAGGGCCTGGCGCCGTTCCCTTGCACCCAGGTCCACCACGAATGTGACCATCACCTTGACGTTAGACGGGAGACGGTCTCCACATGCCACTGTCACTCGCGCGGGGGGATTGGGCTTCTTGAATAGCGAGACGTAGATGTCATTCATTGGTCCAAAGTCGGTCATTGAATTTAGCAGCACCGTAGCGAAAACAATGTCGTCTGTTGATCGGGAACCGGACTTGGGGTGGGCAAAGGACTTGAGCACTTTCTCGACCTTGTATGCAATCGCTTTCATCTGCTGTCCTGCCCCGGGACCAGCCTCGGGCGCAACAATATTCGAAATAGTCCACGTAGAACCAGACAACCGATGCACGGGCTCGCAGACAGGCCAATCTGGCGACCGAGCAGTACTCGTCATCGCCCGCGATTTCGAATCGTCAAGCGAGCCAAAAAGTTCCAATGCAGATCCTAACACGCCCTCAAAAACCGCATCTAACAATCCAGGCCGCCTAATATCACTCGGCGCAATGCCATCGCCAATCTCCCACGCGCTCTTAGCCGTACACCTAGCCCCCCTCAACCTAACAAACGCAACACCCCCATCACCAACCTTCTCCTCCCGACTACCGACCTCGATCCTCTGCTTCCACAAGAAACCAGGCCCATCCAGCGCAAGCGTCTCATACTCTCCGCCCTCACCCAGCACCGCGCCACGGATATCTTCCGCAGCTGCAAACCGACTCATAGCCTTGACAAGACACCTTCGCATCATGCGGCCGCCACTCCCAACACCAGAGACATTCTCCCACAGGAAGCCCTCGTCCAGGCCACCGGAGGCGACCTTGATAATACGAGCATCACACCTAGCGGCCGACATATCCTCCAACAGCCCCGCCTGGCGTATTGCCAGGGCATCGGCCGTTCTAGCCGTAGGGGCTGGAAGAGATGGATACATCCACAGCCAAGCAATGGGAATCAGACCCAGGCGGTTAGCGACGCTCTCGATTCGCGTGCGCTGATAAGTAGAAAGGATGGCGCCTGCAGATACGGCGTTGGCTTCTGGATGAGCCTGTTTTATGCGACGAAGAAGCGGGACGAGAGACTCGGTCTCGTCCATGGTGGTGGCTCTGGTTCCATAGATACGGGCTGTGTCGACTGCGCCGCCTGTGATGGGTTGGCGGTAGAGGGGGATTTGGAGGGCTGTTTCGTAGAGAGGGATTACACTGTGGCCGATGGTTTGGTACATGAAGCTATCGATGTCTTCTTCTTCGTCATTTTTGCGTTGGTTTGGACTTGCGCTTGCGGTTTTGTTCCGCGGTTCTGGGTAGAGGTTGGCTAAGGCGACCACTTTGTGGCCGTTGCGGATGCAGTGGAGGATCGAGTAGAGAGAGTCTTTGCCACCGGAGATTAGGGCAATCACGTTAAGCCCTGGGGCTGAAGGCTGTGCTGCAGACATAACAACTATACGCCCAGGTGTGGAGTCCAAGGTCTCTTTTTCGCGAATTTGGTGGATGTTGCTGGGTGCGGGTGATGGGGGGGTACTTTTTGCTGTCCCCACCTTTGCGTGAGTTTCCGAGGTTATCGATAATCGATAGAGCGATAAGATCAGTGCGACATCCTGAGGTCACGAGACCAGATATCACGGGATCAGATATCACTGCCCTAACTTTACGTTTCGCTATTTTTAGTACAATACTGTTTACCAGGAAAGAGTGTAGTAAGATTATGCTTGTGATTTGATGCATGTAAATCAACATCTAGAGATGTGACCTGGAACCAACACAAAGGGGCAATGCAATACAAGGGGGTATGAGTGATGGGCAAGGGTCAATTAACTTATACACGAATGTGACCAGCACACAAAAGCAGATAAAAAGCAAAAAAGCACCAAAAATATTACATCGAATAAGCAGAAACAAGCATGAACGAAACGGTAGAAGAAGGAGAAAAAGAAAAAAAGGGTAAAAAAGTCACAAGAATCGAAGTAAACAGGGAGTACACGAAGGGAAATCTCGAAGATTCAAAGTGTGAGGCACATTGCTCACGCCGAATGTGCTGGTCCAGAAGATATTGGAGAGAACAAGTGAAACAAAAGGAAAAAGGAAAAAAAAAAGAGAAGAACAAGGTGACAAAGGAAATAATATCACACCATTCCCAGCACTGCCGAAGACAGATGCCATCATCGCTTTATATGTCGTTTTTTTTTTCTTCCTGGACTCTTCTGCGCCCATGTGCCTTCACCAAAAGAACCGTTCGAGGCAATCCAGCCTGTGTGTATGTGTCCCCGTGCGATATGTCAAAACGCTAAATGAAAAGGGAACGCAAGTTGCTGTGCACCGATGATCCAGTTTCCGACACCAGTGTAAATGCCCGGACGCCAAACCCAATCAAGACCAATATGGTCAAGCTCCCAATAAAAGACTCCGACCGAAGAATGTATGTATTATATATGCAGTAGGAAGTCTCCTGGTCTCATAAAAGAAAAATCATGAAAAGTCCCTTAGGACAAGTCACGCTTGCGCTTCTTCGCTGCTCGGCGATCCACGGGGGGAGTACCGATGACTTCAGTAGACCGGGCAGCCTCGTACATGACTTGGCCAAGGGCACCAGCGTCATGTTGATCGTCGAATGAGACAGAACCAGCGTCGCTTGCATCCAGAACTCCCATGACAATGGAGCCACCACCGTGGGTGCGGGCGTGCTGTGCGAGGTTGTCACTGCGGGAGAACTTCTTGCCACACTCGTTGCACTCGAACGGCTTGTCCTGAGTGTGGAGAGAGCGGTAGTGGCGCTTGAGGTGTTCCTGGCGACGGAAGCGACGGGAGCACAGAGTGCAGACAAAGGTCTTGGAGGGGTCTTCGGTCAAAGACTGCTTGCGGCCCCGGCGGTTGACTGAGATAGGAGCAGACTCGGAATCATCAACTGATCCGTCATCAGAGCAGCAGTCGCCAGAGGACTCGCAGGCGGCCAGCGCCTTTGCCTCAGCCTCTTCGTCGGCAGCGGTCTTACGGGACTTGCGGTTGCTACGCTTCTTGATCTTGGGCTCCTCGATGGGTTCCTCCTCGCTCTCGGCCTGAGGGTGAGCAGTCTGGGTCCACTCAAAGGATGGCAAACCATTGGGCAAGAAAGTCTCGGAATCATCTGAGTCTTCGAGGCTGTGCTCGCTCAGGAATCCATCATCCTCCACCAGGTAGGCGTGCATACGCTGGCGCTTGCCACCCATGTAGACGGCATTGGCGGCAGGGTGGAATTCCACCAGGCGATTCAACTCGTCATCAGAATCGAGGTCTGAGAAGCTGTCAAAAGTCGGCAGCGAGCTCAGAGGATCCTGGGTCGAGGAGCTGAAAGAGGGAGATGGGTTCTCGTTAACGGGGAGCGTCACAGACGCACTGCCAACAACGGCGCGAGGTTCCTCCTCCTCGCATGAGAGATTCGGTAGAGGAGGGAGATCCTGTGCGTGAACGTGAACACAGGGCTCAACGGTAAGCTGGCGGGGATCGCAGAAAGACTGGCTCGATCCCAGATTGTGGGAGGCAAGAATGTCGGTGGGCACGGGTGAGGGGGAGGGGGAAAGCGAGGGGCAGGATGTTGCAGACAGAAGGTCGGAGTGCATGTGATTAAGAGAAGGGGGGTGAATGAAGACTGTAGGATGAATTAGCCTTTCGCCCTTGCTTCCCACGATCCACATTCCGTTATCAAAGTGTGATCTATAAAACTCACCAGGCGTCATCGGGGGCGAATCAGAGCGCGCCCACTGCGGTGTGGCCAGGAGCTCCTGGTGCACGTCGGTCTCGCATCCCTCCTTGACACCCTCGACCTTGTCGAAGGTGAAAAATGTGTCATGAATCGGGGTTGGTAGGGCGCCATGAGCAGACGGGGGGCTGCTGATGGTGCTTCCCGAGGCGGACAGCGGAGGAGTCGAGGGGAAGGAGTACAAGTCGTGACCAATAAAGCGAGTGTCCAAGGGCATCAAGCCGGGCGAACCCTGCTGCATGATGATGGTGGGCTTCATTTGTGAGGGCTGTGGAGAGGCAATCGGTGTCAGGCTCATGGTAGCTCCCCGGAAGGCATTGGTGGTGGCCATCTGGTGCATGTTCATCATGGGCTGGGACGTGTAGAGCGGTTGCTCTTGGCCATACTGCATCTGGCTGTAGTATGGGATGTCTGACTGGTAGTGGCCTTGTCTCTGTGAGTCGGAGTAGTATGCGAATGGCTGGCCTTGCACCGAGGTGGGTGCCATATTGTATGGTGAGTCCATTGTGAATGTGATGCTGCAAGGATGAGTTAGAAGCAAGAAGCAAGAGGCAGACCAATGTTATAGAGATATACTACATACCTGAAGTGTTTTTGAAAGTCCAATTGCAAGTCTCCCGCGGTAGATTAGTAGGATTATAAGTGATTCGAGTCCGAAAGAATGAATGGACTAAGCAATTAGGTTGTATATGTGTTGACGATGAATGAGTGTGTCGAGAAAGGAAGGACAGGTTCTGGGAACCGGGAGACAAAGTACTTGAGGAAGGAGAGTGAGTGATATAGAAGAGAGGATCCCAAATAAGTCCAATAGGAAACCCCCAACCCAAAATAGGCAAAATAGTCAAACAAATAAAAAAAAGATTGGATAGAGAGAGTGTGAGTATGCAAAATAGACAGCGGGGAAAATATAAAAAAAAAGCGAGCGAGAGAAGACAATTGAGGGAAGATAGCAGGCTACGGTGGATAAATGAGTGATCTGCTACTATTTTCTACTTGCCGGGTCACTAGTTTGGGTGTGGGCCAGGAACCGGGTGCTTTTTCTTTTCTGAATTTTAATTTGTCTCAGGAATTCCGATTAAATCGAAAATACCAATAATGCAATAATCGAATAATCGAATAAGAGATATTCCAGTCCGGGGCGGGATTGCGAAAGACACTGGGTGCACATCAAGTGCTCAGTCCCGTCAGACGCGGCCAATCGCATTGATTGGGGAGGAGTTTAGTGGGCTCGGTGGGGTGGAGCACTCAGGAACAATTAAGTTAAATCAAATTGAATTTCCATATTTTGGTTTATTTATGATAATACATCGTTTTTATTATCTTGACCCAAGTACCGTTTCGGTCCTCATCCCCAAAGGAGTAAGGTGTTGTACCTACACCTCGGCCAAGTGCAGGGCTGTACCATTCAATCACTACCGGGGCTGTTTACATGTTTACAGTATACCTTGGCCGTCCTTTTGATTTGGACAAAGTCCTCAGAGGCAAAAAGAGTGGCCCGAGACCTGATCTAAAAATTGAGGTGTGGCCACGAGGTGCATGACCATTGGACTATATGATGGTGACAGCGCTAATCAATTGCTCAATCCGTCTTATCAAGGCGATGTCGGACAAATAAGAGCGCTCTAACCCAGACGGTCTTCTTTTCGCATTGCTTTTTCGGGAACCAATAGCCCCGAAGCATTGGGGGCCCACGCATCCCGTCCGGTACCGCAGACCAATGTACCCCCGGAGTACCCTGTACGGTTACCTAGGTACCTTGCAAAGCTTCTAATGGCAGGCAACATCCAACTGCACATAGGAAATTAACAACGGAAGAATCCCTTCCCATCTGTCCACTCCAGACGGTATGTTCCGCCGTGATCAACAGGTGGAAAACTTAAGACCCCAAGGCCCCGCCAATCAGTTGCCAGTTTAGGCTGCCCATCCCCAAGTCGCTCAGCACTTGCCGATCAGGCTATCAACGGTGGCGACCACCGTGCAACCATCTGATTTCGATCGTGAAACGGTCGGCATTGGCCGTACAGTGCTTACTCGGTGCATTCCTGGCCAAATTTCATATGACCTAGGTATTGCCCCTCGGTGCGGTCATCACCGAAAATCAAAAGCCGTTGAACCCTATCAAAGTGGTCGGAGCCCATCCATATTGAAGATCTTTATATAGAGTATGGAGTATAACGTTCGTAGTTCGTAAGTTGTACGTACCTGGTTTGCCACATGGGTCCTATATTGGAAGTAAACAAACCCGTGTTTATTGTCCGGTCGCTGCAAGGGCTATGCCATTTGGTCCATACAGACAAATCTCACATTGTACACGTCAATGGCATCAATATTTCAGGCAGAGCAAAACGTCAAAGCAAGAAAGAAAAAAAAAACAGGAAACACTAATTCCTATGTTGTATGCAATATGCAAGCCGAGAAAGGCGAGATTTCAGTCTACTTGTGCGGCCTACTGCAGGAACCAGCCTGTGGGGGGCAAGATCACACAGGCAGCTACATAAAACATGCTTATTGGGTGCTTGGCCCTCGAAAGGCAAGGCTCAGATGCAGTTCCCTTTGATGCTCAAATCGTCGAGGGTGTACTTCGTACCGACTTCGGTTGCCCTAAGTCCATTGATTGGATCCCCAGACTACATATGCTAAAGTACGATCAAAGACATAAGGCTAATATTGGTGCTTATATTGTATTTGGGGCCCAAGTCCAGTACATTAGTGAGATGCTCGTTAATGGGGTCTCACCTATGATGCATCTTATTGGGTCAATGTGGTCGCTAAGTGATGTGTTCCGATTTGCAGGGTGATGTGATAGCACTTTTTGTCTCACTGACCTGACCTGTAGATCCGGGGGAATATGCGCTTAGTATATGTCAGCGCACTCCATGGGCGTCATCGTCACTATGGTAGGCATGTGTTGTCTGTGACCGGTCTCATCCCAAGTTGAAAACTCGGAAGCACAAACAGATGCATCATCCGACACATCGACTAACACAGCCCAATGACATACAGTAACCGGCCACGCAAGCAAGGTCCAGTTCTATTCTTATTTTCCAGGTCGTGGCACATTCTCTACGCCGTACATTAAGATACAAACTATCCACCAAAATCATTCAAATTTTCCCAAGTCACCAAGTCACTAATCCTAATCTCCAACGTCCCTTTTTTTTTCTCCCTCGAGTCCAGACCAAAAACCGACACTAATATCCCGGCACTTAAGGAATGTCAGGAACCCGGAGCATCTCGTGCGTGATTGGCCACTTCTAAAGATAGTGCGCCCCTCCAATTGGCTAATCCCTTCACAGGCAAAGCGTCGGCGCCAGCGGAGATTTGTCTTCATCCGCTACCAATGAGACACATACAAAGCACGCCAATGTGGACTTGGGGAAATTGGAGAGTCACTGATAGATATTGATTGCCGTTCCACTCTAACAAAGATAGTCTACGGTGTGAAGTATGGAGACTCCGTACTCGTACAGACACACTGGAGACACCCGGGTCTCCGGGCCTCGAGTGTTTCCTTTTGGGCTTAGATACTTCCCGTGGACATGGAAAAGGGTCATGCATGGAAGGCTGTCAAGTCCTTCTTTGAGAAGTTCCAAGGTCCATATCCATCCACTTTCTAATCTTGATGCTAATTACTCCGTAGTACCTTTGCGCCACCCAATTTCTTTATTCCGTGAGCCTACAGAGTTCCGACTCGAGATCTCAAAATTTCGCCCTGGCCTTGAGACTATGGACTTACTTTTTGATAGCCCGAATCCCTGCCGCCACCGTTGTCGCACAGACGGCACGACTTTATTTTGGCTTTTACGAATCCCACGGGCTCGTTGCCAACGCTTATGTAGAACGATGGATTGAAGCCGGAAGCCGAAATCTAGGCGCTATTGAATTGAAGTCCACATTTCCCTAGTCGTCACTCGAGAGCTCCAACAGCTCCAATAGCTCCACGCCCAGGAGCCTATCAGAGAGCTCCCCCCGAGAAAAGTCCAGGGGAAATAAATCAAGACTTCCACGCGGGATAAAACAAGCTACCTTCCAAATCACTTCTACCCAACGGCCCTTCTAGCCTTGACACCAGCTCTTAGGCAGAGTGGAGAACATGGAGATGGAAGCGGGCGGGCAGTGCCTAGTTTCCAACTAAAGGCCGCGGAAGGCCATCCAGGGAAGCCGGACCCCCCCAAGTGGCTCTCGAATGGAGACCCAAGTGGAGGAAGTGTACGGAGTACGATTGACGGTGTACGGAGTACACACCTCTTCTTTGTCCAGAGAGAAAGAGGAAAAAGCAAAACAAAGAGGCAAATTGATCAATTTTGATCTACTCCCAATTACCAAGTAAAATGGACTCGCCCTGATCGCAGAATCGACCGTGCGATTTGGAAAAATAAAAAAAACCTGTGCTTGGCCGAGGATGCGAGCATCTTCCCAGTTCCCCGACGAATCATGCTCGGCTGCTGGCGGTTAACTATGGGGATGTCTGTGAGAGCTTCCCGTCTGCGATGCGCGTAGCCGTTTGGCGATCATAATATGCCCATATTCGAGGATCAGCCCGTCAGCAAAAATTGATCAGTCTATCTGTCATGGTTAACCCCGGACGAGATATATGCAGAGTCTCGGATTAGTCTTTCCCCGGAGGGGGCGAGACCGAGAGAGCCCGCAGCAAGGGTTCAGATTTGGATGTCGCGATAGGTACGGAAGTAATGTACCGTTGAGGATCTCCCATGCATCGGTGGGTTTGAGCATAACGTCCCTGGTCCACCAGGGATTCACCGTATCCTACACATCCAAACCCACAATTGGCAATTGGCAATCCACAAGGCCAAAGGAGAATAGGATTTCGCAAACGTAGGTGCCAGCGCCACAAGGATTGTGGGTTTGGGATACATCAGACGATATGAGACTTAAAATGTCGCAAAATGTCACAAAGAGATGTGGATAGTAGATCCGGAAGGAATTCACGGCCCTTCTGCGCTTGGGTTTTTGTCAACGGTTCTTGGCAGAAGACTCGCAGGGATTAGTTCGCCATTGAGGACCACCGAGGCCATTCACATGGGACCACCGAGGCTTCTAGATAGAGGCTAGAAAAAAAAAAAAAGTTCATTGTTCGCGTAGTACTCTGTACTCTGTAAACAACATACAATACATCATATGTTATTATTAAAGGATTGAAAGAGTTTGGTTCTCAATCATGCCATGGAGCGGAAAAAGGCTTTTGCAAGTCTCCAGTGTTTGCCATGCTATACCGTATACTCCAATAATGGACAGACCCAGCCCTCCAGACCGACTACTATGTTGCTGGCACTCTCTACTACGGTGTAGGCTCTACTACGGTGTACTACGGTGTAGGGTGTAGGGTTGTCAAATCCCGAGACCAGCGCGGGTACCAGCGCTGGGGCGCTTGAGATTACTAGCCCTCCAAAGTGGACAGGAACCATTCCAATTCCAGAAGTTCCCCAATTCAGATGCCCAAGACGCGCAAGGACCCCAGATTTTATGACCGTTGGCCACTGGACGCTAAAACGAAGGAACGAATTAAGTGGCGCATGTACCTAATTAAAAAGAAGCTAAAGCGGATAGCAGTGACCTTGAGGGAAAGTGTTCGAAAAGTAGCGAGACTTTGTGACGTACACAACCCTTCCCCCGAAACCGACTCGGGAATTTGATTGTTTGAGATTTGCAATTAATTTAGTCAACTGTGCAGGATAATTAGGCGGGCACTTCCGCACGTTGAGGTTAAAATCTGAAACACCGTCCGAAGCAGCCGTATCTGGGCAGAATGGGCAAGAACACGCGTTTTCTGAGGCTGTTGACGCCAAGGTGGGCCCGGTCTTGGCTTAGCTCTTTTTATTTTCGAGTTTCGCGTTTCGAGAATGGATCCGACTCTTTTTGGGGGGCATTATTGGCGATGGTCGCATTTTTAGCGGAGCCCATACTTTGCACTTCGCGGTGTACCTCTCTCTTCTGGACATACTTCCCCATTGGGGAGGGCACTGGCCTCAAAATGGCCGGTTAGGGAAGTTTTCTGGAATGAGCAGGAGACTGTTGGAAGAGGCGAGGACGGGGAATCGCTAATAATAACAAAGGGCGAAATTAATTAGCTGTTAATAGCTCACTGCCTCGATGGCGGAAGGTAGATGGCTTCCCAATCGGGAAAAATGAGTCCGATACGAGAACTAAGAGGTTTCGCCCTCACAGCATAAGTTGTAGTGGTGAGATCCGATCTTGCTATCTTGCTATCTCAGTATCTCAGTCGATATCAATCTGGTGTGGTCTTAATATCAGGTGGTTACAGTTCGGCTATCTTTAATATAACAATCAGACAACACAAGGCGCTTTCCGCAAAACCACCTCGCTATCTATACGCCAAACATATGTGGCGTCACTGCCACCAACTACTGTTAGGCGAGTTGCGCACGGGACGCCACTGCTACGCCCATACGGAGCAGAGATACACAGTTCCAAAAAAAAATATCCCTTCCAAGGTCCTCGGTCCATCCATGGGTGTTACATACGGCAAAGTGCGGGGGGCGTGAACTCGATCATCCCATTTCCACACAGTCGCACAACCATGGTTGAGCAGAGGATGAGCGCATCGTTCTTCGCGGGTAAATCGTCATGGTTTGGCTAATCAGGGATTTAAACGGCCCCGCAATCGCTACCACTGTGTATGGACGGAGTCCGTGGTGTTGCATTGTACTCTATCCTATGTCAAAGCACTCTGTAGAAGGAGGTCTGGCAATGCGACGCAATTGGCACAATTGCAGGAAGAACTAATTTGTAAAATTTGTATCAACTTCCACACTCCGACAGCATTAGCAGTCAAAAGAGTGGCGTGCTAGTCTCTAGGCATGTGTTTCAGATATGTTCCTCGGTATCCGGGAAAATACTCCGGACTCCAGAGTCATATCGCGATCTCAGTCAGTCGAGGACCGCGTGTAACTGGCTACTTCACCCGAGACACTAGACCCAGTGTGGCATCCAGACCCTGAGCCGATCGTCTGAAACCTGGATAACCTCCAATTGATCAGCCGTACGTCGCTTGCAACTTGCTCTTTCGAGCTCTTTCTACCTCTTAAGGTGCGGCATTGCACGGAGTACGGAGTGTTGCACATCAAACTTAATAACTACCGAACTATAAGGCGTGCTAACGTGGCTGGAAGAACGTGGGGGGCGCCAGGGATAATTTCAGGTAAGATCTGCTGCGCATCGAGTCTGCGGTCCACTTGGAGTTATCAGCTCGTTAATTGCGATGGTTCCTCGACGGTTCGGATATTTCCAGCTTTGGAAGGTTCAAGCTACCACTAACACTCTATCAGGTAAAGTGAGAAGCTAACTCTGCCGGTGGAAGGTTCTCGACGTTCTTCTTATTATGTATCCTGCAATCTTCAGGCACAGAGTTTTATGAAGCTTCGACTACAGCATACTTGGCAGAATGGGGAATGGTGCGTGAAGACTATCCCCACTCTCCACACAGGCGGCCTACAGCCCACAGATTAGACAAATTGGACAAATTACAACGAGCCAGCTTCGATCGAAGGATTTTTGGACTCGGCACGAGCCTGCGACGCGGCAATATATATATATGAGTGCGGAGATAGCTTGCCAGCCCGTGGTGGGAATATGCATTAGGGCATAGCCTGGCCTCGCCAACCAGGTAGCTCACTTGGATTTCAAGTCCTTTTCGCATTTCTGTGGAACCATCTCTATCGCCCTGGACCGACCCCAATATAAAAAGGGAATGCTTCCTTGGCTCAGGTACCAAGACTCCAACATACTCCGTAGATTGTATAGTTTCATCCAATTATCGGGCTGTCCCCAAGACACGCAGTGGGTCGGAAAATAATTAGATCGTCGTACGAGTATCGTTATCTCTGGTACTAATGGGGTCCCAGTCCAGAATGATGTGATTCTCCGGGCCCTATCTGATCTAATCTTGTATGGTTCCCTGGTACTGAGGTTCACTATGTACCCATCTGGCGGAGTATTCCCGATGAGGCCTAGGATTGTCGTACGCGGCTTCACGATGATAGAGAAACATTCCACACCTGCAGCCAGTTCACATGAGGTGCAAACCTTCTCCAACATCGCGCTATCCCGTAGTCTATGGGCGTCGGTCCCCACCCAAGTCACTAGAAGTCCCCGAAGAACAAATCTAGCGTGTACATCATGTGGAGTATACAGAATAGAAGTGTACTAATTACTATCCGGTAAGCGTATCAGCTGTATCCAACTCGGAGAGGTCCGGTTCGGCGACTGCCTACCTTTGTCCCTGAACTATCATGATCGACGACCGGCTCCAGTTCCCATCTACTTCAGGTACAAACTCCACATTTTGCGTTGTTTAAATCACCCCTAACTATCCTATTGAATTTTTCCTGCAATCACCATGTGGTCTATTAGGACCGAGATTTCTAGGAATAGAAGGCCCTAGGCTAACAAAGAGTTAGTATATGTAGTGCTCGGCGAGTCCAAGGTTATGCATAGAAAAGTCGTTTTCACAAATTCCGCCCTTTTCCGCCCTTTTCCGCCCTTTTCCGCGTGTCTAAGAAGGAGCATATATCCCTAAAAAAACACATTTCAGAAGGGCGTTGCAAATATTACTGAAAAGAAGATCAAATGACGACACCGTGTATTCGATTGGACGCGGGTAGAATCTGATTGTCGCAGGACTTAGGCTCATAAAGTCTCGAAACCAAAAAAGTGGCTCCTTCTAACGTCTAACCCCAAAGGCAAGAAGATTACCTTCCCGCGCAATATTTGGTACGTAACAGATTCACTGCCGGTCGGTCTAGCTACTCCGTAGTGGCGATGACTCTGAACTACGAGACAAGACCGCTATTTTGCGAACACGCTGGCTGTCTCTGTCTCTTGCGGTGTGTGTGTAAAGCCCAACACAACATCTCATCAATGACTTTGGAGCTCGTTCTGGATCCATAAGCTGAAACCACAGCCTAAGCTGAGATGAAACAGCAAACCTCCCGTGGTCTATTCGAGATGAAATTACATTCCGTGACTCTGTTCACTCCAAGCCGGTGTCTTGCTTTGTCTTGTCTGCTGTCCAGCGCCCGGCCAGTCCGAGTCTATCCAGTCTAAATCGCTGTTGAAGACACGCCATCGCCAGTGGATACACAGTCTGAATGGCGTGCGTTATTAACAGCAAAACACTGGACGGTGCTCATCTCCGGGCGGGCTAGAGCGGGTCTCAGTTGTTTCTACAGAACCTGAATCCAAGACGTGGTACCGTTATAGGTAGGTAGAAGGTACCTCGCGAAAGAAAACTCGCTACAACATAAGTTGTACAACACACAACACAACTAACTCATATCCTCAATATAGCTAGTACAAGCCTCTCCATGCCAAGCCCAAACACAAGCGCGCATAGTCAAGACAACGGAACCGGCAAGCAAACCTAAACTTGAGAAATCACCGTGGATTCCGGCAAACCCGAATCTTCAATAGCGATCAGGCAATCCAGCTTTGATGTTCATGAAACAGCCACCAAAACACAGATTGCCGCATACCCACCAAGTCACAACTTGCACCACAAGCCAGTCCATGGTCCTAGAACAAGCATCTATCCGCCAAACCTACAGTGGAGTGGATGGAGTATGGAGATGGAAGAGAAAAAAAAAACAAGAGTTGCGATCTCGGCTACGTACCTGTCAACTCCTACGAACGAGATGAACTAATTGCATCGCGGTAAATAGAGTGCCAAGAGCTCCAACTCCATCTGCGGGTCGCGGATGTAATCACTGTGTCCATACCGAGGACTCCATACAGCTACCTGCTATATCCTCTTTCGGCTATACTCCGTACGGGATGCATTGTGAGAAGGCGAGAATGCCGGGTGCATCCGGTCATCAACCAGTGTAGCTATCGGGCCGAATTGGATATATTTGCGGCTCCGCGTACCAGCTTCGGCGCTAATCATACGGGGCTCCATGATGGTTTGACGCTTGTGCGACATTGTCTGATTTTTTTCTCCGATGGGTACAGTTTTCGTCTCAACGGTGATATCCGGACGGCAATTTGGCCTCGAAGGTCATGGGGTTTCGGGTCAGACATTTCATCTATATGGTACGATCAAGAAACAGGAATAGATGTTCCGCATATGAATATGGAATGGATGTGCTCGTGCATGCGTTACTAACTCTAACTGCAAGGTTTGAGAGATTAAAACGCAATCCTAACTTGGAAGACTCGGGGAAGCAACTATTGTGAGCTGATATCGAAGCGCGCCCTGGTTGCAGGTCGAGCTCCCCAACAGGAATAAACAGCAAAAGGGCCTCAGGAATGGTAAAATTGAGATCACGCCCCCATAAGGAGTCAGTCTCTTCCTATCATAGAATCCATATTTCTCATCATCGACCATGTTTATGGAAGAAAGAGAAAAAGAAGGAAGGAGCATCAACTGAAAAAAAAATTGGCTCCTCGCATATGGCTTACATAATGAAAGTCTCTGCGCCGAAATCCTTGGAAGTTTCCGTTAAAGGCAAGCGGAAAAACTAAATCTCCGGGGCCCGGCATAAAAGAAATTCTCAACCGGCGCCTTTCCTCTTCTTTCTTTTCTTCTTCGTGCGGCGGCGCAACTCGATAACCCGTGTTGCCTGGACATCTACGGCCATTAGTCTGGCTTTCAGTGATGTACCCCAGGTGTCAGTTGCGCCACAGACGAAGGGAATTGCACATTGATTCTTACCTTTATGGGTCTTTCTGATATCACAAGGATAAGACCTCCTGGTGGGAGTCAAACATACTTTTTTTTATGCCCTCGGGTATTTTCTATAGCTCTAGATACAATGGAATCAATTCATCAAATTTTGCAAAATTTCTACAGCCAGCTGGCTCTCTCATTAGACGTTGAACTGTACTCCGTATCATCACTGGCATAAAGTCGACACAAATGTTGATCCCCCCAAGCTCTGTCTTGAAAATTCATCACACAAGACAGCTCACAATTCTTATCTCCATAGCGTACGTAGGCTTTTTTCTCCGTAGTCTATCTTTACTCGCCAGGCTCATCACCAATCTTCTCCAGCTTGCCCATAGATCGGTTCGCACCTGCCTCGCCAATAATGCGAATGCGGTCAACCCGCAGCTTCTCGCTGTCCCCATCCCCATCAACGAAAAACAAAACCAGCGATGTCACATTCTGGAAATTCACAAACCGCAGGGAGACTGTCGCAGTCCCGGTCTTCGCATCCCAATCACCAGACTGGATCTCCACCTTCTGCACGGGGGGAATACCATCTGCCTCATCGAATCCAAGCACATGCGAAGTATTCTTGTAGATGTGCAAGTTCTTAGGCCGCATGGGTGTCTCGTCGGCGTCGGCATCGGCGTCCGCGGGAGGAAGAGAAGTAATCTGAAGCGACTGGACCTTCAATATCGAGTTGAATGGGATGTACAGCATCAGCTGCTCGTCCGTGTCACTCTCTGTCCAATCCGCCTGGCCAGCAGCCTTGCCCTTGCCATTCGCTGCGAGTCCGGAGGGCTTCGAGCTGTTGAAAAGAGCGCGCGGCTCTGCCGTATCCGTGTCCCGGTTCAACAACTCCAATCCCTTCACGTTAACCTGGTCTGTGATGTCGCTGTAGCCCTTGGCTACTGTGCTGCCGAGCCAGAGCTCACCGGAGCTGCTTCCTTCACCGGCTCCTGCTGCATCGTCCGTCTGGCTTGCCTCGGATGCGAGCTTCTGGACGATCTGGTTCAGCTGTGCGGGGTTGGCGCCCTTGACTGTTTGGTTCACGCGGCCGTTCTTGAAGACGATGAAGGTCGGCATTCTAGATATCGTTCATTTGTTAGTAAACTAGGATATTTTAGAATTTGCGCGCGGGTTAGGCTAGATTCTGATGTTGGGAGGAATTTCACATACGCTGTGACGCCATAGGCTTGAGCGAGCTCTTGTTGGTGGTCGACATTGATCTTGGTGAATGTGATGTGATTCGGGCGGGAGAGCTGGGTTGCCAGCGCGTTATACGCAGGCGCGATAGCTTTGCATGGTCCGCACCAATCAGCGTGGACTGTTCATGTATCAGGCCAAGGTTAGCGAAGCTCTAGTCGTTCGGAGGGGAAGACAGGGTCTCGGCGGGGCAGGATCGCGCTGTAGCAAATACTTACAGTCGGCCACGACCAGACGGGAGGAGGTGAGGAGCGACGAGAACTGCTCCTTCGATGAGATCTCAATGACAGACATGGCGAAGTTGGGGGGAATGAGTGTAAAATGGAGGGTGGAAGAGGATGGAAAGATGTGAGGTTGTGTTTTGCTGCCTCCGCATATGTCATCAGCCCCTCTACCATCAACCTCATATGGACAACGCCAGGAACGTATACTAACTAATTGTTGTTTTCTTTCAAATGGTAAGTATTCGATACTTTTGAAAATGCAGGATTACTGAGGTCAACTCGAATGCCGAATTACCAAGTGTGTTTTTATCTTGTGGGATGTTGGATATATATTGTTTGTCATCTTTGTTCTTCTCCTCTAGGGGAAGGTATAAAATAAATATATAAACGAGTGTATCCTTATCTAGATTCAGAACTAAATGTTAACAGGTAAATATATGGTACTATGGTACAGCATTCGGGCTCATTGTTGGATGCATGATTGACAGATCCAACAAGAAGACAAGAGGTCGGAGTTGGGATTGAGTAGGGTGCTTGAGTCTTACTCAGTCAACGTGCGATGAGTCCAAAACGAAGATCACGCTTGGTGTAAGCTCTTGGTTTACACAGGGTCCCACAAGATTGGTGTGTACAAACCAGAAGAGATTGGGGGAGATCCAAGTGCGCAAGAGAAATCGTTCGGAAAAATGAATGTTCATGATAGAAGAACACGAACAGCCCCAGGGCCAAGCCTGTACCCTGTCTGAACCAACGAGCCTAGTCTCTGGACGAGACATAGACCAACGCAGACATGAAACCACGGGATGCCAATTTATCGCACAGCGACAAGATATGAGCTGCAGAGCCGGCCAGAATCTCAACGGTATGCTAGAGAAGAGATGATGACCAGGAAAAGACAGACCGTATGGCAAGTCATCCCTTCATCCTTCATCTGCCTCGACCGCAAAGAGAATCTTCAACCAAAGACTGCATCCGCGACACCCGATAATGATCTCGCCATGCTCTGCCTCCCTCTCCAAATCCTCCTCGCTGACCAAGAACCCGCGCTCATCACCGCACCGACATCCGCGAAACCAGCAGTCGCCGTCGCCGCCCTCTGCCTTCTCGCAGTCAAGATCCTCCAAATCCACAATCTCCAAGCCAGTGTGGAACACATCGCCGGTTTTCTCCCGTTCCGCAACCTTCAGTCTGTCCAGACGTAGAGAGCGATCATATTCGGAGCGGAGGACGGGGTCCGATAGGGTCTTGTAGGCGGTGGTAATCTGGTCGATGGTGTACAGTTGTCGCGATGAGTTGCCATCGGAGCTGGCAGAGAGATGGTTCGGAGTAGATGCAGATGTAGAGTTAGTCGATCTGCCTAGCCCGGTCTCCCTTGCGACAGCACCCGCCTTGTCAGGATGGTGTTGTAGCAATGCTTTATGGTATGCGATCTTGATCTGCTGCTTGGAGAGAACTGTCGACGAAGACCCTGTGAATGAGAGAGACAGGACTTCATATAGATCCACAGCGTTCGCCGTTCTCGTCATGTCGACAACATAAATTCCTCCTTCTGTTCAGGACCTGTTCGTCGTATCTGATTGCGCTGTTTCCGTTCGAGCGACCGGAGGTACGCGCCAGGCTGTATATTGAGACCTCGGAGTCTAGTGGAGAGGCCAATCGCGTGCATTCCAGGAAATTATCGCGATAATCTGGGGTAGCAGGTGCTGCAAAGCGGGGTTGGTGAGCTTTGTTACTGAGAGGTTTCTATGAGAATTTGAAAATGGCGGGTCGCCCTTGCACGCCACTTTGGGAAAAGGCCTCCCGGTCCCATACTTGTTGATGTCAAGCGTTGGCTATTTCTTTTCTCTCTTTCATTTTCTCATTACTGGTCATGAAGGTATACTGTTCTACATTCAAATTGAATAATTGCTCCAATGCTAATGCTACATCCTACTCAGGGCGAAACTTACATGCTGTGAATACAATTGGGGCTACTAATCTATGCAAATATGGAGAAAATCTAAACTTCCATTGGCAACAAGAAAAATGATCTTAGTGAGTAATGACTCGGATATCAACACAGGTATATGCGAAAGGAGACAGGAACATTAGGCAATTTTCGAGCAATTCCCTTACTCGGAATCAGAAGTCTTGAATACGATATGCTCCTCAGTCTTGAAGGGCACACCGAGCTCAAGAAGCTTGGCATACACATCTGAGAACTCCTTGAAGAAGACATCGCTGTCCTTGGCATAGCGCTCGACGTGCTTCTTGAAGGCCTTATCCTTGACAAGAGCCATATCGGTGGGCAACATCATGAGCGTTCCAGTGGTCTTGTCAGTGTACTGAGCCGGGCCGTTCCACTTCTTCGGGATCCACTTCTCATCAGCAAGGAGGCGGAAGAACTCATTGCTGAAAACAGTAGGGCTGAAGTCCCAGGGGCCGTCGAAGCCGGAACGATCGGTGTGGCAGCGGCCTAGAGCATGGGCGCCGATCAGGGCAACCATCTCGCGGTCATCGAAGCCCATGCGGCCGAAGATATTGCGAATGTGACGCTGGTCCTTGGCGCCGTCAGGAAGACGTCCGTCGGGAGTGCAGGCGGCGATCTCCATGTCTTCACGGCCGGGTCTCCAGGGGATCTTAGGGCCACCTAGCTCCTGGATGGAACAGATACCACCAAGAGTCCACAGATCGGAGTAGCTGATCCAAGGGAACTGAGCCTTGATAGGCTCCAGGAAATCGCGGGCAACCTTGAGACCGGCGTTGGCGCCGTGATCAGCCTCTGGGGCGAACCTCATAGTAGCGCCGTTGCTGCCTCCAGTGCCGGTTTCCTTATCATAGGTACCACTTGCGTGCCATGAGAGACGAACGAGGACCTATTGAGAGCAACAAAAACGTCTAGGTTAGCTCTTTGATCTTGGATTGCGGGGTTGAACAGAAGCACTGCACTTACGGGACCATAGCTGCCGTCATCATAGTCGGTCTCGTCGGCCAGACGGGAAGCGATAGCGTCGTACACCTTCTGGTAGTCGGCCTGGGTGGGGACGAACGGGCCCTTGGGGGAGGAGTCGTTCAGGTAGAGGTATGCTCCACCTGCGGCACCAAGGGCACCAAGACCAAGAGCCCAAAGGCCAAAGGATGAGCTAGACTTCTCAGAGCCAGCTTCGGAAGCATATCCACGACGAGCAGAGGCGCGGACACCATTGGCGGGGATGGCGAAACGGGTGCTGCGCGCAGCAGGACGGAAAGAGGAAGTCGCTGGGGTCGAGCGCAGGAAGGCCCGGGAAGCAGTTCTGGCAGCTGAAGCCATTGTGATAGGACGGAGAGGGCGCGAGATAGGAAGTCGAATGAGTCTGCACTCAAGGAAGGGAAAGCAAAGGCGGGATTATAAGTACAAGGGAAGAGAAAAGGGAAGAACCGGGGGATTTGTACTGCTGTCCCATTTCTAGTGTCAGTACAGCCCTGATTTCAATACTTCGGTACATTGGACAGAAGCTCATGGAATCACAGCCAATCAAGGGGGCCACATATGCTATTGCCTCGGCGTTTCGTCTCGTCTCCGCATTCCAGTACATCACCATACATCACCGTACACCAACCCCAGACTTTCATGACTCGCATTTTTGTTGACTGTTACACTGTGGCTATCTGTAGGTAGCCCTAGGAGATTGTCCTCATTTATTGGCAATCCAGACTTGATACCAGAGGCGTAAGTAGAAAGACATCCCGAGGTGTCGGAAATGTATTATTAACGGCCCAGCGCTGTTTGGCCAATGCTGACCCACAGCGCCACTGATCTGCTTACCTGATCGAACGGCTGGCCCCGGGCCCAGGTGGTTTGCTCAGTAAGAATCGAGGTCTAGATACGGAGCTACATCTATATTTAATTAGTGAAGACGTCAAATAAGCTATCTATGAATCTTTGAGTTCGAGATTCCTTGGCACAACTGACCGTTTCTAATGGTCACGATTTTATTACCCATGGTCCTAACTGACTATCTACTATGTCTATGAATCGTACGTTGCTATGACAGTGCTGTCGTGTGATCCACTAAAAGTCGATAAATGCTCAATCTTAAATGTATCAATTAATGCTCTGGTCAGAGCATACGTTGTTTTATTAGCAGTGTGAATGATCGCAGTATACATAGTTCTTATGAGCGTGAACAAATATGCCTTATTCTCCTCTTTAATTAGCGAACCAACGCAAAAGTCCATACCATTTCTTCTAAGCTTCCTATTAACTCCATTTTAACATTCCTTTGCAATTGAAAACCTGTCCTTTCTTGCTTGCTCTCAATGAATCTTCCAAACGCGTCACAGTATCATATGTTTATAGATCAACTAGTTCGTCAATGCTGTAAATATGTAACCAAATTGCCCTCGCTTGCCTCTTGCATTTTAGTCTCCACGAAGGCATCAATTTCTACCTGCTCTTCTGTACTGAGCAGAGTAGGTTGATCCTCGATCGTTGTAAATGGACCATGGAATTTTGTATCGATGAAATTCCAATAAATTTCATCGAACATAGAGCTGTATCGTAAAGCGAGGCAAATCCAGAACAATCCAGTTTCTAATGACTTCTCCATAGCGATCGATAGTCTTTGGGATTGTGACAAAGAGCAGTCTTGAATTTTTCTGGCCTCACAATCTTTGAGAACCTCAAAGTGCGAAATCTCGGGATAAAACGCAATAGAAATTGCTCGAGATCAGGCTCCCAGCCCTCTGGTTTTTCTAATAAAAGCCACCAAGGAGCAGTCATTGTGAATTAAACGGGGGCAGCATAGATGAACTCCCAATCAACCACCCCAGTAACGATAAGCCTCGATGCATAACAAGGATATTGCAAGGGCGAAGATCATTGCAATAAAGCTGGAATGGACCACTGCAGTGTTCCTCGGATACCTGACGTGATAACTTGCGAAAAAGACATCGCGTGATATACTTCTTGCGGCAGTCGGCCTCATTTGTAATTGTATCATTGCGTTGTAGTCTAAGATGGTAGAGCTGGTGACGAGCAAGCTTCTCGAAATAGTCTGCTGCATTGTCAAAACGTTCGCGGCTGGAGATGTTGTGGGGAATATTAGAGACCCGACCGAGGGCAGTAAAGCGAACCACAACGCGATAGCCATTTGCAAAGGCGACTCGGTAACATATATTGAATGCACCATTCATAAGGCGCGAAGCTGTTAAAGGTTTACCATCGCAATGTCGAGAAGCAAGCTTGCCTGCCAATTCCTTGGGTGAATTTCCGAGCAGATTTTGAATCCACACCTAGAAAATCCGATCAGATTGCTGTACGGCAAGATTGACGAAATCCATTGCTTATGCGCTAGAAGAAAGATCTACATATGGGAGTAAACACTGCTACAGCTGTCGTTCGCATGCTATTCCACGGAAAATCAGTTCAGCCGAGTATGGGTGGTCATGTGATATAGGCAAATGCTATTGTTGGTACTCGTAAGTCCCCGTACATGCCCTCGGGAGGAACCTTGAAAATAAGTACGATGATCAATGATCCATGACAAGTAATACGATATGATAGACGCAAGAGTGAATTTGAAAATATATTTCCATTATGATCGGGGATGTCCGTCGTAAAAAAGTCCTGCTGTTCAATAGATATGAACACCAGGGTGGAGTAGACGCAGCTCTGCTAAAAACTGTTTGGTTTTGATATTCCACGAACGAACGATTATAAAATCACCCAAGAGACGAACAGTGCCACAGGTAGGCACCGCGCGGGTTATGTGGTTTGAAGTTTACATCCGAATGTTGGATCCAAGTCCTCGACAATCCCCGACATTAAAGGATTGGAGTCTCGAGTCTTCAACACACGAATGATGGTTAAAGAGGAAGACAAGCTGTGAGGTGAAAAGTTTTTATCTCAATCTCCAGGACACGTGATCGAGCTAGTACAGCCACGTGACCGTGCCCTTTTGTATCGAAAATTTCCGCGCAAATTGGAGACTTTCCTTCTTTACACTTTACGAACGCATAATCAACCGCCAATTCCTCTATCATAGGATGGTTGGTCATATTGGCGTACTAGAAGATATTCCTGGATATCATTACGACTTCTCGACGGCTCCGAAAAGGCTTCGGCCTTTAGGCGCATTGGTAGATGCGAGTCATTGCTGTCCAGACATGCCAATTTTTCTTCTCGCTAGTATCAATAATATATATCTATTCCGTGACTTCTTATCCTTCCGAACGTATGAGCCTGGGCTCGAGTCTCTGCAGTACAGAAGCATTTAAAGTGTTCTAGAAGATCGGGCCTATGCAGAAAGCTATGCCGGAAAAAAAGAAATTGAGAATGGGATTGTCAACTCAATCTAACTTAATCAACTCAACCTTGGAACAACTGAGCTAAAATGTCTAAATCTTTCTTTTCTCTCTACTCTGCTATTTCTTTACCCCCTGGGCCTCCGTATGCTCCGCAGGGTACATATATGTCTCATTTGGAATGATCTGCCCCTCGGACGTCAATTGAGACCCTTCTCCGCCCTGGGAACCAGAAATCTTCCCCTATTCCACTTTGTATTACTGCCACTCCTTCTGTTTATTTGTTCTTGTAATTATTTTTCTGCATCATGACTCCCGGTATCAGCAAGCGCGAGCAGGCGCGGCATGAAAGAACCCTGGGGGAGCTGATCCGGACCATTCCTGGCAATGACCGATGTGCCGATTGCGGTGCCTGGAACCCAGGTTCGTCCCCAGAGACTTTAATTGTTGATCTCGCTAATTGTTATTTGAATAGGATGGGCTAGTTGGAACGTATGTCACCGCTTCCTTTACCTCCGAGCGAATTCACAAACTGACTGCTTGTCTCCGATAGATTGGCATCTTCCTTTGCATGCGTTGCGCCACACTGCACCGAAAGCTGGGCACACATATTTCCAAGGTTAAATCTTTGAGCATGGACACATGGACAGCAGACCAAATTGATGTGAGCACAATCTGGAACCCCGCAATAGCAAAGGTCACGAGCTGACAAAGTGGACTTTGTCAGAACATGAAAGCGCATGGTAACACCATTATGAACCAATTGAACAACCCGCGCGGCATCAAGCCGCCAGTTCCCACCGACGTGGACGAGGACGATGCGTGCATGGAACGGTTTATCCGGCAGAAATATCAACACCATTCCTTGGAAAATGGGAAGCCAAAGCCCCCGAGCAGGGAGGACTCGAGTTACTCCAGCCAAAGGGCCCAGTCCCCCGTGCAGCCAAGAAGGAGGGACTATGACATATCTCCTGAAGGTTCTCCTCCTCCGCTTCCGCCCAAGCCAGGAAGGTTTTTCAAGTTTGGTCTACGCTCGTCATCCTCTACCTCGAACCTCCGCCGATTTGGTGGCAAGCCCAAGGTGACTTCGCCAAACTCGGACGATGAAACCTGGTCACCACCACCATTGCCATCCAGGAGGACAACAGGACTTGGTGCGCCTGTCGCTGATGTAACAACGGCATCCTTTGAGGCCAAAATGGCGGCGTTGCAGCAGATGGGATTCACCAATGACCGACGAAACGAGATGGTTCTCAAGGGACTGCATGAGGATCTGGATCGAGCGGTCGAAACACTTGAAAGGTTGGGTGAGGGGGGCACCCCTACATCAAGAGCCAGGACCCCGGCCGGGACAAGCAGTGCTGCATCCGCACGCGTCTCGAAGTTTGAGACGTCCAAAAACCCATTCCCCGTCACAACCGACAACACATTCCCTGAGGCTTCTAACAACCCATTTGATCGGGCTGTCTCAAATCCTGTGGCCAAGTCGCAAACCCCTCAACCACAGACTACTCCGTACAACCCATTCGATCAACTCAACTCGAACCCGGCATCTACACAGCCTTTCCAGGGCCTGCAGGTTTCCCAGCCATTGTTCCCTCACTCTACTGGTGGATATCCGAATCAGACAAGCTCCATGCAGCACTCTCCATATCAGGGGCCCTATACGCCTCCGGTCACAGCGACATTCTCGCGGTCTCCCTATGTTACCTCGCCTCAGCCAATGGACAATAGCTACAATCCATTCGACCAGGCACCGCCGCAGCCGCAAGGTGGCTTGGCTAATCAGACATACCCCAACCCTAATGCACCGCAAACGAACCCTTTCTTCAACACTGCGCCTCAAAACCAACAAATGCAGCCGCAACAGCAACAAATGAATCCGCTCGTAATGAACCCAGGTGGCTTTCAACCGCCTCGCCATGCAAATACTATGCCGGTCATGTCTTCCGCCTCGCCATTTGGACCGAATGCTTCTCTCCAAGTACAGCAGCAGCAGCAACAACAGCTGCAGCCATCAAATGGACTGGGAGCTCACAACCCGTTCCAGCAAGCGGCGCCCAACACACCACAGGGCGCAGGCGGCTACCCCAGCCAATTCCAGTCCCACCTGCAACCCCAGCAGGCCCAGCAATCTATGGCTCAACCCACTGGAATGGACAGAAACAACATTCTTTCAATGTACAATATGGGTCCTACACAGTCTAATATGACATCCATCCCCGAGCAAGCTCAGCAGACTCAGCAACCCCAGCAACACCAACAACCTCAACAACCTCAACAGTACCAACCCCAAGCCCCCACGATGAACCCATACTCTCAACCATCAAACCCATACAACTCCATGCCTCAGACCCAACAAGCCACAAACTTCCAGCACCAGAATCAGAACCAACTCCAGCCCCAGCAAAATTTCCAGTCCCAGCCTGATACATCCAACAACCCATTCTTTGGCACCACCTCCACAGGCAGCGGATCCGGCCTTGCCGCACAAGCAGGTATCAACCCATCTCAGCAGCAACCCTCAGGGCTAGGAATTGGCGGCATGAATGGTCAACCCGGGATGGGAGCTGCTTCCGGAACCACTCCAGCCATGGGAACGAACAACTCCCCATTCTCAGGAATGAGCGCCCCCTCCTTTGTAGGAGCAAACAGTACTCCATTTGCTGGAGGCCAGTCCCCCTTTTCAGGCCCCCCACCCGCGAACTCGGCATATCCTCGGACACACATGAGTCAGCCGAGCGTCGATGTGAATGGGGTGCAGAATGGTCGCCATAGCCCCGATGCCTTTGCTAGTCTGAGTGCTCGCTATGGTTGAGTTCTATGAATTCGATTTTCGATCATACACAGATAGATGGCCGAGCAATGTAAATACATAGGTATGGACATTGGTTTGGTTTTGATTTTCAATTTGACTTGTATACTGATCTGGATATAGAAGTTTGACGAGACGTGTTATGTCTGTGCATGTCCGGCGCATTATCATTGTCTGTTTGCCACTCATTAAATTTTCATCTGTTTTCTTTTCTTGTCATTCCCTGCTGTCATTTTCTTATTGTACACTAAAAATTCCTTTGGTTTCCGGTTAGCGAGTCAAAGAGTACATAAATGTTGTATTTTGTTTTACATATAAATTTCGAATTAATACCTGTATTGCTAGTGAACTAAGACAGAATATCGTACTGAAGATCTAGTCTGGGGCTATATGTCCAAAGAAGAAAGAAGAGACCAAAGAGAAAGAGAAAGGGAATGTGAATGGTATGAAGCTGAAGGGGAAAGGAAAATCCTCGCAGCATCACATATAATGCAAAATAGCTGGAGACCAAGAGGGGGTGATCTCAAGACCACAACTCTGCCTCCGTAGGTCTCCTTTTAGCTCCGCCCAACCAAGACGGCAACCCAGGAAGCCAACTCGACACCCAGGAAGGAAGCCAACCTGTCTTCTGCTTCGAGAATGACAGCCTCGATACAACAGTCTCCCAACGAGAAGGGGCACGCCAAGGCCAAGAGGTTGATGATTTTGAAGGCGAAGAGAAAAACGACCCCAATGAATGTCGCCACGACGCAAACAATGGAGGAGGCGCAGGGGCCCAAGGCATCGAGGACATCCATCCCCGCTTTTTTTGCTTGCGCCCCTCACTCTTGAATGCTTCCACGATACGATCGAATTGCTTCTCTCGGCTTTCCTGTTCTTGGCGTTGCGCAAAGGAGCGCCAGGAGTCCTGCTCTACTGTGTCCAGGCACCAGACTACGATGTCGCCGCGACGGCGCCAGTCGTCGTGCCAGTCACTGTTGTAGGTGCGCCAGCACTCCCCATAGGACGAGGTACGCAGTATGGTGTAGAGGGTTGGCTCGAGCTGGGCGAAGAAGATGAGGTAGTCCGGCCATTCATGTTGTGGGGTCTCGTTGGGGTTCTTTCCCGATACAGAATAATGCGCGGGCGAGGCGTAGCTCGGTCGTCGAGGAAGGTGACGGAGACCACCAGTCATGTTCTGGCGTAGAAATTGGAATGTGTCATCGTAGAATTGATCTGCTTCGTCTCGATAAACGGCTTTCTGAGTTGCGTTGAGATCGATCGGTGGCTCGCACGAAAGGGCCCAAGCGTTGATTGTCGGGTAGACTAAATGAGAGCGCCAGGGTGTGCTGTGGCAGGGCATTAAAAATCCAACAGAGATTCCGGTTTCGGAGACTGAGTTTGTTTGGGCTTTTGTTGTTGGTACCGAGTGTGCTTCGTGCTGATGACGGAGATAGGAGAGAACACTAAGTGTTCCTGATGCATGATAGAGAGTTGTGTAAAGTGCAATGACCACGTTTGCACACATGAGGATTATGAGAATCAACCTGCGGAGAGTATGACCCCATGCCTGCGAGTCGATAGCTGGGTAGAAGAAGTGCATTAAAGGCGGTGCAGCTAATATATGCAGGCAGGGCAACAATGGGTAGATGAAGCGCACTTCCTTATGAGAGATCAAAGAGAGCACAAATGGCATCAGAAGGCATACTGTCGCCAATTGCACTCGGATCGCCGCCTGCAATCTGTCTCCCACTGTGGAAGCCCGAGTTGACAAGGTTCGATATAGACCAGTAAGCGCGAAGGGCAACAGAGTGGTCAGTAGAAGGGGATAACCCTGAGAGATATAGTAATGCCAATCATTGCTGCCATAGAAGATAGCTAGTGATTGCGCGATGTTGAAGTATAGGAACCTGAGCGGCGGGAAGGTCCAAATTCCATAGAAGAGACGGTCCGCAACGGAAGATACCGCAAGAATAGTCGACCTGCCAGATCAAAAGGTCAGCTTGTCCTTTATCAGGAGATTGGATTACTTACCCGCAAATCATAACTTCAAGAAGGAGGATCTTGCGCTGGGGCCAAGAGGTCCGAAGCCAAGCGAGGCCGGCCAGGGTTGCCCAAACGAGAATGTTGGTCGGTCGCAGTATACAGGCGAGTGCTGCCAGCGGCAGACATTCGTGGAGACTGTAGGTATTGTCAGTGGCAGTTGTCATAAGTTGGAGGTTCAGTCATACCTCAGAATCACACCTCGATCCCTGTCCATTTGATTGCCAGTATTTTTGTCGCGGCCATTGCTGGCGGTAGAGCCTACCGACCATTGCCATGGCCATAGTTCCAACGCGACAATGGTAATTGTTGTTTCGAAACTGTTGGATAGTGTCCTAGTTGAGCAGAACCATTGCCAGGGATTTACGACAGTTGCGACCAGCTGTGAACGTTTATTAGCATGCGCTCTTTGCTGCCGAGAGGAATTATGAACACCCGATACTTAATCACATACCGTTGTCCATGATTCAAGAGAATCATCTCCATAGACACGAACTGCGAGCTTCCATGTGTAGAAATCACCAATTGCTGCCACAACGGCCTGCGCTGTCTTTGGAGCGGCAATTAGGAGCTCTGCACGTGTGGCGGGAGACAAACTGAGGGTGAAGGCAAGGAAATCGGCGACTTTATAGAGAGCGGCGAAGAAGAGAGGATGTAGTGAGGATCGGAGTTGGTGCCGCCATTCCTAGGAGCGATATTAGCCAAAGTCATGTGTGGGCGCGATCGCATTCACTCACCCATGTCACCCAGGCCCCTTGACCCTGACCGAACGCGATCTGCCACGCTGGCTCTAGTGACTGAAAGTATTCATCTGGCTGGAAAAAGGTCCGAACTGCGAACGCATTGACGAGACGGAAGGCGATGAGGAAGAGGAGTATGTTTTGAGTGGGCGCGCGGCGGGGTTGAGGCTTGCGGCGCGGAGAAGTTGGTGTAGACATGATCAAGGGTAAGAATATTGTAGGTACTCATTCATCCCCTCGTACATTGCGGCTCAAGATAGTCTGACCTCACAAAGCGCATGCACAAACACGGTCAATAAAGGAGAGAGGGCGGGAGCGCCCCGACTCCGAGATTCAAAATACTCTGCGGAGTACGGAGCGATCGAATTGCCCTAACATTTCGATTCATTGTCTATTTTTATATTTTGGCTTATAATAGATCTTGGAGCATAACTAGCCCTTTATTTCTCTATATATCTCCAAGGTTCATGTATATGTATTTGTCTCCTTCGATAGCCGAAGTATGACGTGAATTTCTACCCCCAGTTTTTCTCTCTTTTTTTCCGATTTAAATTAGACAAATTAATACTTGGAACATTATTAGAGCCAATATAGCCAATCAACGAATCGGAAATCGTGGTTATCAAAGCCACTGGAGCCCGTGTAGGTTAATCCTGCGCATAGGGAACAGCGTCGGCACGACCTGTACTTAGCGGACATCCGCTCTATCAAGCCTAACACTTAACGGAATAGCGTATAAAGGGTTTGATTTTCCTTTACCTATATAACTTCTCGTCTTCCGTTTCTTTTACTCTGGAATTTCTTCAATTTCCTCAACTTTCCTCCTCTTCTTTTCTTCTTTACCCCATTGCCGATCCTCCAACTTCCCCCAACTTCCTAGCTCTCCCCGCAATCCACCATCCACCATCCACCATGGCTACCAACGGGCCTTTCTCCCACTACCATGCTGCCTCTTCTGTTGAGGCTATCGAGTCCGAGAAGGAATATGCTGCCCATAACTACCACCCACTTCCTGTTGTCTTCGCCCGGGCTCAGGGTACTTCGGTCTGGGACCCTGAAGGCCGTCACTACCTTGACTTCCTCTCCGCCTACTCCGCTGTGAATCAAGGCCACTGCCACCCCAAGTTGATTGCTGCATTGGTAGACCAAGCCTCGCGAGTAACCTTGAGCTCCCGTGCATTCTACAATGACGTTTTCCCTCGCTTCGCCAAGTTCATCACTAGCTACTTTGGCTTTGAGATGGTGATGCCCATGAACACCGGCGCCGAGGCCGTCGAGACAGCTATTAAAATTGCCCGCAAATGGGGATACAAGACCAAGGGCATTCCGGAAAATCAAGCCGTTATCTTGAGCGCGGAGAACAACTTCCATGGGCGTACAGTAAGTGAATTGTGACCCCTCCTTGTTACACCCGTAAAGGTACATCAGTGGCTGATTATACCCCTTGCATTAGTTCGCCGCCATTTCCCTATCTTCCGACCCCGAGTCACGCGAGAACTATGGCCCTTATCTTCCTGGTATCGGATGCACCATCCCAGGGACAAATAAACCAATCGCCTACAATGACAAGGCGGCTCTACGCGAGGCGTTCGAGGCGGCCGGCCCCAACCTCGCTGCTTTCCTGATTGAACCTATCCAGGGTGAAGCAGGCATCGTTGTCCCCGACCCAGACTACCTGCAGGAGGCCCGGGCACTCTGCGACAAGTACAATGCGCTGCTGATCTGCGACGAGATCCAAACCGGTATCGCACGCACGGGTAAGCTGTTGTGCTACGAGTGGAGCGGAATCAAGCCTGACCTTGTCTTGCTCGGCAAGGCCATCTCGGGTGGTATGTACCCGGTTTCGTGCGTGCTGGGTAGCAAGGACGTCATGCTCACGGTCGAGGCTGGTACCCATGGTTCGACTTACGGCGGAAACCCACTCGGCTGTGCCGTTGCTATTCGCGCGCTTGAGGTCGTGCGCGAGGAGAACATGGTCGAGCGTGCGGAGAAGCTCGGCCACTTATTCCGAGATGGGCTAGTGGCTATCAAGAGCCCGGTCATCCAGACAGTGCGTGGAAAGGGCCTGCTCAATGCCATCGTCATTGATGAGTCGAAGACCAATGGCCATACCGCTTGGGATCTGTGCATGTTGATGAAGGAGAAGGGCTTGTTGGTATGTATTCGAGTCCCTACTCGTTAGGATTGGTTTGGATATCGCTAACTCTTATTCTCCAGGCCAAACCTACCCACCAGAACATCATCCGCCTTGCTCCTCCGCTTGTCATCACTGAGGAGGAGATCCAAAAGGCCCTTGGAATCATCAAGGAAGCCGTGACAGAACTTCCCAACCTCAAGGGCGCCTCCGAGGACAAAATTATCCCACCTTCGGAGAAGAAGGTCAAGATTGAGCTTGATGGCTAGATACATTTGTAAAGAACGGAACCTTCACAGGTCCACAGATCGCAGCGACAACCACAGAAGCCTCCTGGAGGGCTCATGATCTGTAAACTATGCATATCATATCCTCTGGGCTAGGGATGGCGACTGGAGAGTCTCATTGGTGACAAGCTTCCTAGCACATTTCTTACTGTCTTGGATCTGCTTGTTATCCCACGACGTGACGATGGAATTGTTTTTTTTTTTTTTTCGGGGGCCAAAATTTGTATGTTATCACAAAGAATACGGAGTAGACCATAACAATTTGAGGTTTGAATACAGTAGTCTGCTTGACTTCAGCCAATATCCTCCCCATTCCGTGGGCCTATTTAAACATTACTAATCCAAATGTCGGCACTCGGAGTCCCGAAGCCCGCGATGCCGACTGCCCACGAGACTAGATGATGGATGATGAAGTTCTAAACGAATGCGAATGCATGTTCTCCTCTGACTTATCTCCGGTTTAACTCTCATTTGCCATGACAAGCCCACCAAGCCCGATCTGGGGAAGCTTAGCCCTGTTTGACGGAGTCATAAAAAAGTCAGACACGGAAGTCCGAGCCCTTTCATGACATCCGGTCACTTTGCCATAAGTTATCTATAAACCATTAAAGCCCCTGAAATCTCCTTCAATCTCATTGAATGTCCTCAATTCCTCCCAATCCCCAATTCTTTATCCCCGGACATTATCTCCGCCTTCCGCATTCAGCAGCTCGTGGCTACCCCCACATCGATTGGATTACTCACACCGTTTCTTTTATAATCGAATCTCCGGAACACTGCCTAGCTGGGAATCAGATTCAGTATCCGGTCAACATCCAGCATGTCCGCACCCGAACCGCTGCGTGAAGTAGTGGTGGCGGATGAAAAGCTCCGGGCCGATGCCTTAAGATCAGCACCCGACGAAGCGGACGTGCAGCCTACGCCAAAGAAAAAATGGTATCGCAGACTCAATCCACTTCGATTGCAAAAGACACCACCCGTCCCAACAGAGCGATCTGTGTCGCGAGAACATGGCGCTTCGTTTTTCAGTATTATCTCCTTCCAATGGATGTCCCCGTTGATGAAAGTGGGCTATCTACGTCCACTCGAATTGCAGGATATCTGGACTGTCAATCCCGATCGGGCCGTTGACGTATTGTCCAGCCGATTAGACGCCGCATTGGAAAAGCGCACTGAGAGTGGCGTCAACCGCCCGCTTCTCTGGGCATTGTACGACACGTTCAGATTTGAATTTCTGCTCGGCGGCATCTGTCAGCTTCTCAGTTCGCTGTTGTTGGTCTTTGCGCCGTATTTGACTCGGTACCTCATTGCTTTCGCGACGGAGGCTTATGTCGCAGAAAAGGCTGGTCTCCCGGAGCCTTACATCGGCAGGGGTATGGGGTTCGTGGTTGGTATCACCTGTATGCAGTCAATGCAGAGTTTATGCACGAACCAGTTCCTGTATCGGGGTCAAGTTGTCGGTGGGCAGATTCGCGCAGTGCTGATCTCCCACATCTTCAACAAGGCTATGAAATTGTCTGGTCGTGCCAAGGCAGGAGGGCAAGCTACACCAGAAGAAGTCAAAGCCCTGGACGCAACCAAGGAGGCTCTCTCAAATCCCGAAGAGAAAGGGAAACAGCATAAGCCAGATACTGCGCTACCTGGACCTGGTGGTGTGGCAGGTGATGGCCGCGGATGGAACAATGGTCGCATCACTGCTCTCATGAGTATTGACGTGGACCGTATTAACCTGGCTTGTGGCATGTTCCATATGATTTGGGCAGCACCCATCTCGATTATAGTGACACTCATCCTTCTCTTGGTCAACATTGGCTACAGTTGCTTGTCTGGGTACGCATTGCTGGTAATCGGAATGCCATTTTTGACTTTCGCCGTGCGATCCTTGATCAGCCGACGACGGAGTATCAACAAGATTACAGATCAGCGTGTATCTCTCACCCAAGAAATCCTGCAAGCTGTGCGCTTCGTGAAATACTTCGGTTGGGAGAGCAGTTTCCTCGGCCGTTTGAAAGAGATTCGCGGACGAGAAATTCGATCCATCCAGACCTTGCTTGCGATCCGAAACGGCATTCTTTGTGTGGCGATGTCGATTCCTGTTTTTGCCTCCATGCTGTCTTTCGTTACCTATGCACTATCACATCATGACTTGAACGCCGCACTGGTTTTCTCCTCATTGGCGTTGTTCAATTCCCTGCGGATGCCGTTGAACATGCTTCCAATGGTTATCGGTCAAGTGACTGATGCTTCAACTGCTTTTAGTCGAATCCAGGAGTTCCTGCTCGCCGAAGAACAAAATGAAGATATTGAGCGGGACGAGAACATGGAGAATGCAATCGAAATGGAACATGCTTCATTCACCTGGGAGCGCCTCCCAACAGACGAAAAGGATGCAGACAAAGCCAAGAAGAAGGCAGCTGCACGCCCTGAACCATCAGGAAACTCAACACCCAAAGACGATAACACCGATGAAACTCCCACAGAGCCATTCAAACTCAAAGATATGACCTTTGAAGTTGGCCGACATGAACTGTTGGCCGTAATTGGAACAGTCGGCTGTGGCAAGAGTTCATTGCTCTCGGCTCTAGCGGGAGATATGCGTGTGACTGATGGTACTGTACGCCTGAGCATCACACGCGCATTCTGTCCTCAGTACGCCTGGATCCAAAACACCTCGGTGCGCAACAATATCCTGTTTGGGAAGGAGTATAATGAGACTTGGTATGAGCAAGTGATCGAGGCATGCGCTCTGACCCCAGATCTCGAGATCCTACCGAATG